AGATTTTTCAGAGATCTTTTTATTATTGATATCTATTTTAATTCCATTGTAATCAGGGAATGTACTTCAGATGACTTATATGACTTACATGACCACACTTGATCTATCATTGGAAGTGTTCTTTGTTTACTTTATTTTTTTAATTAATTAATTTATTTGTGTTTTAGAGACAGGGTCTTGCTCTGTTGCCCAGCCTGGAGTGCCATGTTATGATCATAGCCCACTGTAACCTCAAACTTCTCCACATCTCAAGTGATCCTCTGGCCTCAGCCTCCTGAGTAGCTAGAACTACAGGCACATGCCACCATGCCCCACTAATTTTTTATTTTTTGTAAGAGACAGTGTCTCTTCATGTTGCCCAGGATGGTCTTGAACTCCTGGCCCACCATTCTCCTGGCTCAGCCTCCCACAGTGCTGGGATTATAGGTGTGAGCCACCATGCCTGGGCCATGTTTACTTTAAAAGGATGTGTATCTCATGTGGTTGGATGGAATGTTCCATAAATGTCTATTAGGTCAAGTTGGCTGATAGTATTATTTAAATCTTCTGTATACTTCCTGATTTCCAGTCTCCTTGTACTATCAATTGTTGAGGGAGCAGCCTTGAATTCTTTGACTATAAATGTGGATTTGTCTATTTCTCCTTACAGTTCTATCAGTTTTTGTTTTATGTGTTTTGAAGCTCTATCAGTGGGTACATAAATCCTAAGATTGTTATGTCCTCTTGATGAATTGGTAATATCCTTTATTTGAAATCTACTTTGTCTAATATTATTATAGCCATTTGACCAGACCAAATTACTTTACCTCTCTGTGACTGACTTTTCTTTTTTCTTTTTTTTTCACCTATTTGAAAATAGAGTGAGGAAGACAAGGGGACTAAATAATAAAGATAACTACCTTGTAGAGTTTTGCAAAGATAAAATGAGTTAATATATGTGAAGCTATCAGAACAGCGCATAGTCAACTCACAATAAATGTTAACTACCACAATGTGAGACCTTGGGCAAATTACTTAATCTCTCTGAGCCTCAATTTAATCATTCTCTAAGGAGGATTAATGCATAACTGCCTTGGAGGTTACTGTGCAGATTGAATGAAATGGTTCATATAAAGCACACGGTGTAGTGCCTGGCATGTGGTAAACATCCAATAAATGTTAGTTGCTATTATTATCACTGTCTCCAGTGATAGAAAACACAGGATCTATGAGGATGACTTTGAATGTACTAAATATCCAAAGTTATTCCTGTCAAGTCCGAGTAAATATAATTGATAACATTTTTCTCTGGCCTCATTGTCTTTGACTCTAAACACTATTAACTCAACCCCTTTTCTTGGAGTTCACACTTTTCTTAGCATTTGTGATTTTCCTAACCTGCTACTTCCTCAGTTTCTCCTGCTCTGTCTCCTTTCCTGGCTCCACTTCACCGTGCTGCCCTCTAGTCATGAACATAACTCAAACTTGAACTTTGGCTGTATGCTTTCCTCATTGGTGACACACTTTCTCTTTGGTAACACAGCCCACCTGCATGGCTCCAACTTCTGTCTCTGCTGAGAATTCTCCCCTGACTCTCACTGTCTCCTGGGTTTGAACCAAATCCACCTCCTCAAAGTCAATGTGTCCAGAGCAGATATTGATAGCTTGAGTTATCCATCCTGGGCTCAGTCCTCGGGCCCCCACTTCCACTCCCTCTCACTCAGGATCATTCCATCTTCCTTCACAATCTCTCTCACCTTCGCCCCTTCTTTTTCATTACCATTGTGACCCTGTAAGTCATGGTCTCACCTCTCCTTGTTGAACCCGAGAACCCTGTACGTTTTGATCTTGCACCCCTTCAGTAGACATTTTTGAGTATAAATTCCCAATGTATATATATATATTGATTTACAAATTATGTACATGTTCTACTCTAATATATTTGTGTACATTATTTAAAAAGAGAAAAACAGACATTGAAATGAGAGTGAAGAATTAGAAATAAATAT